TATATATATATATATATATATATATATATATATATATATATATCTTCATCGTGATCGTCGTCGCAGAAAAATCGTTATGGAGGAACGTGTACAACGATAGAAGTTTGTTTCTGAAGTTTTTGGAATCGAGAAAACGGAATTGGAATAACAACAACAGCATCAACAACAACAATAGTTTTAAGCGGCGAAACTCGAAGAGGAATCGAGAGAAAAATTTGAAGAGAAAGTATCTCAAGATGTATCCAAAGAATATCTTAAGATTCGAGAAAAATAATCGGGACAAGAATTTTCCAAGTTATTTGAAGGAAGTTAAGAATATCGATAATAATTACTTGAAACCTGGCAAAAATTTTCAACGTTCGTTGAAGGAAGCGAGAAACGTCACCGATCGAGATGTTGTCAGCAGGAAGAACAGGAAGGACAGGAACAAGAACAGGAAGAAGCATCTGGGCAAGGAGGGGAGGAGGTTCAAGAGCGATAAGAGAAACGAGACATCTTCGCTCGGCGTGTCGAGGAGAAGGGTGCGTGCAAAGAAGAAGTCGAAGAAAAGCGAGAAGAAGGCAGTGGAGGAGGATGAATCGAGAAAAGCATTCCTAGTTTTTGGCCACACGATCCCCGAAAACTCGACGACATTGTCGCAAGTTATTGGTTCAACCACTCCAAATTCGACGGAGAACAACGAGACATTTTACGATACATTGCAAACTACCGGTTCTGAAGAAGGAAACGAAGAGAGTAGTACTTGGATAAATAATGAAGCGAATAGAACGAAAAGTGATGAGACGTTTCACGATAAATTGCAAACTATAAGTTTGAAAGGTGAAGAGACCAATACTTGGAGAACTACGACGAACGATATCACAGTCTCAACATTTATGGAGGAAGATATCTCGGTTACGACGGAGATAGAGCGTTCCACGATGGAAGAAGGTGAAAAGTTGAAAGATGAAGTCGAGGGGAAAACCACGGAATCAGGAATGAAAGATGTATCGTCTTTAACGGCCGATGAATTCGTTACAACTACGGAAGGAAGTGAAAAATTATTGTCGACCAAAAGTGAAGATCTGGAAGAAGATATCGGCACAAATACAGAAACAGTTACGAAATGGATCTTAAGGCGACGAGATAATTTCGTCGACTCTTCGGATGTTTCAAACACGAATTGGTCCTCCGAGGAAGATTTGGACAAACATTTGAGAGCCATCGCGGATGAAGAGACGAATTCTTCCGTTTCGTTCAGAATCAAGCATTCTTCCCAGGAAAAAATGGCCCAGGAAAAAACGACACTTCTATTAGACGAGACTGCATCGTTGGACGTGGAAAATTCTTCTTCCAGAACCACGGAAAACTCAAATTTGTTTGACGTACTTGCTGACGATTCGAATAAGAATTCTGTAGAATCGGATATTGTCGGTTCGAAGGCAGAGAAACGTTTCACCAAATATTTTCGCGAGTACGCCGTGACGCCGTCCATTTTAAGGATTTCTACGAGTGCAGAACGAGAAGAGGAGCACGATCTCACCGATTTGTATTTTCAAAGATACAACGCGACACAGTCGGTTTCAACGATTTCTACGATACCGAGCGAGAATTACGATTTATCGGCGAAAGTAGAGACAGAATTGTTCGAGGCGGGTCGAAACAATTCCAAAGTTCGCATAAATCTGTTGAGCGACTCCAGACTGTCCGCCGATCTCTCCATTCCTACGAGCGAAAACTTCAAAGACAAAGTGTACGATTGCACGTCGAAGTGCGTGAATTATTGGAAGAGGTTGTACGAGATGAAGGAAAAGAATTATCAAGAGTTGATCGAGAAAATTCTGAAAAACGACGGGAAGATCGACTCCGGATTGATCGATTTCGAGAAAAGTTCCACGTTTTCCAACCCCGATTACGACAATTCCCCCGATTCCTCTCAAAATTCGGTTTCAGAATTCGCGGTAGTGTTTGGTCATAATTTCGCGAGGCCTCTTTATGAAAATCGTTCGTTACCGACCGAGCCACCGAATTTGATAGAGATTATCAGCGAGAAGAATCCGAGCGAGGAGAAAACTCGAGAAGAAAACTCGAGCAAGGAGGGGAAAAGAGGTAACGTTGACCGGACCAACTTTAATAATCATCCCATTTCCTCCGTGAACGCGACATTACCGATGGAGCACACTTTCAAAGAGTTCCAATCGAGAGAAACGGTGGACCAACGAAGGAAAGAACAAGCTCAACACGGTGAAACGTATTCCACGAGTTTGTCAGCGATTAACAATTCTTCCACGAACGAGGCAAAGTGCAAAAATGGTATAAACGAGGAATCTGGAGAGAATTGCGAGGAAGATAGCACGATGGAATGGGCAAGGGATTACAATTCCATGGAAGAGACGATTACCAAAAGATATGGCGATGTGTTCGTCGATGTGACGAGCACGGATTGGTGGGATACCACAGAGGCATTCAAGTGTGATCAGGATCAGTTTCTTTGCGAGGATGGAACGTGCATCGAGAGAGATAAGATCTGTGACGGTGTGATGGACTGTGAGGGCAGCACTGACGAGTTCAACTGTGACAATGGGAACGATGGAAATGGGAATGGAAACGGGAACGGGTCGAACGAGTCTGACGAAGGCCCGACTTGCATGTCATGGGAGTTCCTCTGCAACGGGACCTGTATCGGCAATCTCTCTCTGCTCTGCAATAACGAGATTGATTGTGACGATGGATTTGACGAAGCTGACTGTGAGACGGAAGGTAGAACAGGCTAAACTCTTCGACATATCCTCTCTTCCACTCTACTACTGCAACTCTTTAACTTCTCTCTTCGTGGGAAATCTTCGAAACACTTGCTCTTCGATGAGAAATATCGTTGGATGTCGAGAGAGAGAAAAAAAAAAAATGAATATAAAGGGATTCTATTGGAAGTGCTGTAAAATGTGGTGGCTTCTTCAAAATGGTGGAATATATATAAGATGTTGTTAGGAAGAAGATATATGTTTGTATATGTGTCAGTACTTAATTTGTGACGTTCAATTTCTTGCTGTACAAAGGCCTTGAAGGGTAGAACATGTTAGTAATTTTCTTTCTCCACACATGTTCTTTCTCTCTTCTTTTGCATTCGATTCGTATTTCGATCGTAGGATTTTATCAATTGCAGTTGAGAAACTTGAACGAGCTTAACTTAATTTTTTTTTTTTTTAGTTAGATCGTGTCAAGATGGATAAAGAATGCAAAAGGAGTAGTATCTAGATCTAACAATCCGTTTTTTATCCGTTTAACGAATTACAATAAGGTAATTCGTTGATCCGTTTATTTATCCTCGAGGTTGAACGATTGAGACTGGGGATTGAATTCTGTTTGGAAATCAAACAACGTCGTTCCCGTTTCTTTTGGTTGATCGTTCGAGATTCTCAGTTAAAGCCTCAGTTAAAGGCAGACACGAGAAATTAGTTACACGTCCATCAAACTCACACACTGTATACAAAGAACTTTTATATAATACCTAATCGCCTTCGAGAGGGAGGCTTGGTTCGGATTGCTTTAAGTGTTAGTCAGCTTCGAAGGAATCCTTTGTACATAAAATGATACCCAGTGATCGCGTGATACTCTGCCAGGTTGTGAATATTGTATCGTGGCAATTCATCCTGTGCCATTGGAGAAAGAGACGCTCGATGAAAAATGACTCGAGGTAATTTTTC